TTAGTTGGGTTGGAATTATAATGACTTGTCCTGCTCAAGGCAAGTGATACATCATACATGATCGTTCTTAGAGCAAAAGAATATGGGACCTGACTCATTTTCTCCGGTTCATCACCAGAACAGGGGCATTGAGATCTACTCAAGTATACGCCATGTTTCTAGGTATGTAACCTTTCTTAGAATCTTGCATCTTAAATTTTTTCAAGATCTTATCTAACTATGTACTCCAGATTAATCCAATTAATTTCCTAGATCTATCTCTACAAATATTTATACCTAGTATGTATGATCCATCTCCTAAGTCTTTCATAATGAAGCATTACCCAAGCCAAGTTTTTATGCTTTGAAATGCTGGGACATGTTTTTTATGAGCAGTATGTCATCAGCATACAACACAAGGAAGACTATGTCACAACTAGCAATTTGCTAGGAAATTTTATGATCATGTAAACAATATCAATGACATCAGTTATAAGCTTTGGACTTGATAATGCACTATGTTATTTAACCGCTACTAACTTTCACCAAGAACCAATCATAAAGCCCAGAATTTATACAAAGCATTATAAAATGTCAATTTAGGGTTTTGAAAACCCTAAGGACTATAGTCTAAGTCCATTTTGGACTAGGAAACCCTTATTGGGCCCAATGAGCCAATAAACTTATAATTTGATTATTTTGGGATTAAAATTTCTAAATGGACCCTAAATGGATCCACTATCATGGATTTAACAGTATAGGTCATAAAGGGCCTAAAATGAAATGGTTTACCCTAATGGGCCTTATTGGGCCATAACTAACCTAATTTGATTATTATGGGCCATAAAACTTATTCTTTTAATTCAATTGGGCTGTAAGACACCTTAGAGGCCCAATGGGCCGAAAAATTTATGTGAGCCTCATAAATTCGAGCATGGGCCCAAAATGACTCCTTTCCCTCTCTTTTAGCCCAACTCGGCCTAATGAGAAAAAGAAAATAAATAATAATAAAAGAAAAATGTGGAATTATGGGAGGAAGACTCATCATTTTTACATCTTGGATATCCATGCTAGATTTATCTCCTCCCCATGCATCCATCACTTCATCTATTTCTCTTCCCTTCTCCTTCTTCTTCTCGGCCATAATCCCTTCTCTCCCAACCCTCCCAAATATCATCCTTCATCATCTTCCAAAATCTAGAAAATTTTGCTAGTCTTGAGGATCTTTATCAAGTCATTCCAATATTTGGTAACTTTTTTGTCAAAATACAAGCATCTTCTTTCCTCTTAACATGGAATACTCCATCTTACGTAGTTTTATTCCATGATCGCACATTTGAAGCTTCATAAGCTCAAGATCCACTCCAAGGTGTTTCTAGGATCAAAAACTATATCATCTTCTTCTATTTCTTCTCAAAACCGAACCCACAAACCTGAAGGTGAGTTTATACCCCTGTGTTTTCAGTTTTGACTTGTTTTTGGGGGAATAATACAAGTGTTATGTGTTGATCTAGGTGTGTATGCATGTTCTGTGTGATTTCTTTGGTTATTGTTCTGAAAAATGTGATAATGCTTGATATATTTTGAAATCTCTAGTATAAATGAGAAAGACTCATAAACAAAAGCATATTAAACAACATACTTCAATGATCTAAGTGTTTTTATGTATAAGAAAGGAGAAACAAAGCAAAAGATTGTATAAATATCATTTTTGCAAAAATAACCAAGATATGGGTAAAATATGACCATTTTCTGTTTTATAAGGGTTATATGGTATTTAATTATATGAAATCTGATTTTTACGGAAATAATACCTTCAAGTGGTCAAAAACATAAATTTTAGTCAATTGGGCTTACATTTGGGCCTTACGGGTTTTTGGGCGCAAAAAGTGTAAAAATGAGAAGCTTTGGGGTTGAAATTGTAAATTCATTTAAAGTACGAGTCAAAAACAAAAACAAACTATTTCAGGGACTGAAAATGATCTTTAATGCAAGAATTTGACTAAAATGTAAAGTTTTTAGAATTTAGATAAAAAAAATGTAAAATTTACGGAATTTAGGCCAAAAGTGTAAATTTTTTACAAATAAGGGCTGGAATGGCAAACACAATAGTTTTGGGCTGAAATTATTATTTAAATTATGTTTGGGCTGAAAGTTTCAAGCAAAATGGTTTAAGGACCAAAAATATCAATTTTCATCAAAAGGAACTAAAAGTGCCGTTACAATTCAACATCAAGTGTTTTACTATTGAAAATAAATACTAAGCGTAAAACGAATTATATACTACAAACATATCGAAGAACGGAGAAATAATACAATGATTGGGCCTGATGTTACTCATTGTATCCATTGGGCCTTCGTGGTCCAATTTCACAATTATTAGGCCCAATTTCACAATTATTAGGCCCAATTTAATCAAAACATGTTTATTGGGCTTCGAGTGATCCAATTACATGCCTACGGGACCCTCGATGGCTTTTACATGCTATTGGGCCTTAGTGGCCCATTTGCATTGCTAGTATGGTCCAAATCAAACATATGCTTGACGGACTAACGTGTCCATAAGCATACTCGACAACCTATAAGTAACACACATGATTAGTGAGCCACATCGTCCTTTTGCGTGTTTGTTAGGCTTTATTATATACTATATAAACATCGAACGGGTTGTAATCAATGTCATTCAAATTCATGGGGTAATATTGGGGACTTAGTGAGAAAATATTAGTCGGCACCAATAAGTGTCGATCGTAGTCTGTAAGTTGTAACCAGAGTCTCCTAGAGGGAGAGCGAAAGTTTGTGTATAGATCTATACGGGGGTGACTCCCCCACACCTGAGTTGTTCACTACAGTTAGACTCGGCCAGTCTAGGGTGACAAAATCTTAATCAAAACCGGCATTTGTAAAAATGCCAAGACAGATGAAATAGTCATTATCATGCATAGTTATAATGACTCACATAGAGATCCATTACCTTTTCATCATTCATGGGAAATCAACTTCATACATGGTGGTTATTCAATGTGGTTCATGCAATAATACAAAATTATACTACTATTTTGGGAACCGGAAAATATCAGATTTTCTGGGGAATTTATATCATTTATTTAACACATCAAATACAATAAAATGAGCATTTTTGGTAAATTCATACAATTATACATGTTTTGAAATCACGTATACATTTACCCATACTGGATCATCACATCATATCGTAAACAGATTTTATTTCGGAAAATATCGGATTTTCTGGGTTATACAACGATACAAACCATTTTTTTATTATCAAACATGATTATGAACTCGCCAACATTATATATGTTGACCCGTTTTCAAATAACTTGTATTCTCAGGTTACAGATAAGCGGAAGAAAACTGTCAAGTGTATTATGCTTTCATGTTTTGTGACATTCAAACGAATATATGTTTTAATTATGTAATATTTGTTCAATGTAATTGATGTGAACTATGTAAGTTGTACTATGTAATGTTCGTGTTGTATGTGTTTGTTTAATGTATATTCATTGTAATGGTATTCAATTGTTCGTCACGCAAGCCCTCAGACGTTTTCGCCGTCCGGTTCGAGGGTGTGACAGACTGCAACACTCCTATTAGCTCTAGCATATACGCATGACTTGTCATTGCTTCTCGAAAATCCAAAATCTTTGAATTTCTCATCAAAAGAAAGATTACAATTGTGAGACGCTTGTTTGGGTCCATAAATGGACTTCTCAAGCTTACACAATCTATGTAGACAGTTGGACCGTGCAAAACTTTCTGGTTGTGTCATATAAACATCATGTGTGAGTTTTTCATTAAGGAAATCAATTTTACATCCATTTGTCTTATTTTATAATCATAAAATGTCGTTATGACAAGTAGTATTATTATATATTTTATCATTGCTACTAGTGGGAATGTTTCCTCATAGTTAATACCTTGAGTCTGATTCATAATAATTCTATAACATCCCAAATTCCAAACAAAAATTTTCATTTAACATTAAAAGCATTTGTTCCAATTACAGCTTCAAAGATCTAAATAAAATCATTTGATTCAAAACATTTATCATCGTATATACATAAGAGATATTAAGTGCGAAAATCTCCAATGGATGTGATGCAATCAAGCCGTGCCATTTCTATGTAACAAGAAAACCTGAAACAATTTAAGCTTCAAATCATAATCACAAAGCTTAGTGAGTTCCCCCAAGATACTACACAATACAGGTCTCACCCAATATACATAACGATCCTCACCCAACATAAATTTTGGTCCTCGCCCACGATCCTCGCCTAATAAATAACGAGTCAAATATAATGCCCCCAACACATATAACATTCATGCAAGAGTGTCACACCCCGCTAAAGCAAAAACACGAGACACGACAGTACAAAGGGTCTCATAGCAAAATTTAAAAGACAACACCAACCATAATATTAAAAAGATTTACATTTTACAATAAGTGTAGTGATTAAAATCTTAAAGATCGATAAGATTCAAATAAGTAAGTAATAACACAATAATAATCAAACATATGTTGAATGATTAAAAGTCACGCCTCAGCTGAACTCAATGAAGAATTTCAACTATAGAGGCGTGTTAGGGTTAAAATATGAATAAAAGAATTAACTAAAATAAGATGCATGCATACACCATATATACTCAAACTCTAGAATTAAATACGGGAGGACAATCCCAACCCGTTTACAAAACAGACTAATTACAAAGCCCAATGACGCAACAACTAAATACTCAACAATCTCCCCATTTGCATCAATTGAGGCTATAGCCCATCAGCTAGTGATTCACTTCTGCACATCATAGATTTTTAGAATAAAGCATAACAGCATCTTACGAACCTGCATATACCACATAATCATATCTGAAAAGCACTTGACGTCATCATTATGGTTGCCCTTGAACTTGGTAATCAAGTCCAGTATAAATTCCAGACAGACAGTATTGTACAGATGTTTATCTTCGAGATAGAAATAAGACTTGCAAAAGTCAGCTCCTGTTCATTCTCGAGACTGGTACACTACGAACCATCCATCATCGTATATCTTCCCTGGCTTTAATTTCTCGAAGTCTTTCAGAGCTTCCTTAGGAACGACAGTCGGCTTCTTCTTTAGAACCGCAACAATATCCACATCCATCAATCCAACTTCTTGAATATAAGAATTGAGCATTAGTTGGAGATAGGACATAACAGGTTCGGACTTCTCTTTCTCTCTCTCATCAACATCTTGTAAATCATGATCCAGTTATTAGGATTCAAACAGGGCAAGTCTGTGAGGGTGAATTCGTAGGCTTGACAAGTTAAACCTCTCACTACTTTGAACTTCACACTGGGGAAGCTTTCAGTCTCGATTGGCCTAGTGACCTTCACGACAACTATCTTGTGCGCACTCCAAGTTTCATATCGGGGCTTCATGTGCTTCAAGTAGAAGGAGAACAACAGTTGATCAGCTCCACTGTCTGTGAAAGGAGAATTTGCAACCTTCACGAAAGCATGGAACCTGAAAGCTTTTGGAGTAATGGGAGGTTCGATTTGGGAATCTTGAGAATTTTGATGATCCAAGGATGCAATACGATCCAACCAATACTGACCGGGCAACTCCACAACATCATGTTGGATTCACTTCAGGGTCCACTTTGGAAATAATAATATTTTACTTTTGAGTGTGGCATGAGCTTCCTTTTATGCCCTTTCCTTTTCCTCAGCCTCCTTAATGATTCGTTGAGTTTCATTCAACTCAGTATCACGAGCCTTCCACTCTTTAAGTTCAACTTCATCAGGCTCTACGTCTTTATCATCATCGATTATGGGCTCATCTTCAATAAGTTTTTCCGTGCCCTTAGGTTCTTTCTTCACAATGGGCTTGGCTGGGATTTTGGGAGGTTCACCATTTCCATATCCGCCTTCTCCCCCTTGTTTCTCATCAGAATTTTGAGGAGAAACACCCTGCAGATGGTGCAACATCATGAATACAGGGCTTAATTTGTCATCCAAGTGCTTTCAAATAGTGATAGAAATCATTTAGTCCCTGGTCTCAATGATATTTGAGAGCAAGCCAGTGACATCGAAAATGCATCTTCATATAACTACTCTCTCAGATAGCAGGTCGTTGACCTATTTCTCAGAATGTTGAAGCTTGAGATCTAAGACCTTGACCTTCTCTATTTTTCTGGCAAGAGCGTCCATAATTTTACTTTCCATCGCCAAATCATCCTAAAGCTTTGTAATTTGCAAAGTGAGGGATGTTTGAAACAAGGCATGATCCTGTTGCAAGCCAGTGCGAATCTTCTCCAAGTTTGTCTTCTCAGTTTTGAACATAGCACCCAAGTTCTGAAGAGCTTCATTTGCAGATGTTGTGTTGTTGTTTTAGGTTGTTCGGTAATTCTCCATGAAAGTGGTTGTTTCATAGATTAGTTTATCGACTTTTTCGGTCGTAGATTTGCAAACATCAATAGACTCATACACTGCCCTTTTCATCTTCGTAGCATTCTCTACATGTTCCTTCATGATTTGTTTGAACAAAGACTCAATCGTTTTTTTGAGTAATCTTCAGAAGAGGACGCCTTAGAGGCAAGAAGCAGTTAGTTTATTTTCTCATGAAGGGACTTAAGCTGCCCTTTCGTAACTGTGGCTTCATCTTCACTTTCAGTCCTTATCTGAAATAGACTATAGGTGAATCCGCCAATGTCATCATCATCCCCAAAAATCATTTATGGATCATCTTTGTGAATAGGGGAGATGGGTGGAGAAACATAAGTGGTGAAGACTAAAGTGTTATCCCCCGTATCAAATACGTTGAATGTGACTTCAGGGTTCGTTGAAGAAATGGGTTGCGTAGTTGAATCAGTTAAGATAGGCGTGGAGAGAGGAATACTTGTTGGTTGAGATGCACAATCAGGAGGAGGATAGGGTGAAAATGTGATAGGGGTTGAAGTAGTTTTTGGTGAAGGAGGAGGTAAAGGAACATAGTCATTGAAAGATTTGTTTACCTCTGGATTCGTAGTCTCTTCTTCATTGTGAACTGGTGGCTCATAATTACGAACATGCTCTCCTTCCTCATTATGAATTGGCTCTTCCTCCTGATTACGAACAGGTTAATTTTCTTCAATCCGAATGTCGGGTTTAGTCTCAGAATCTTATCCTTCACTCGCAGATGGTGTAGGAGTTTTTCTTTTGCGAGCATGTTGTTTTCTTCTTTTCGAAAAAGAAGTAGAAGATGTTGTCGATTCCTTTTGCTTTTTAGGAGAAGGTTTCGCAGCACCGGATGGACCTTCTCTGGCAGCAATCTCCTTCTCACCTTTCTTAGAACCCTTACCTCCCTTCTTTGGTTTATCAGCAACATCAATGGTTGCTTGCATTTTTTGAGTTAGTAGACGGAACGCCGAAGGGGTAAGTTTACGAAACCCTTCCAAAATTTTTCTTGAAGTAGGCACATCGCGAAACATGGCCTCTAGTATAGATCCAATGAAGGGGAATTTAGAATTATCTGCAACAATTATCCCTGTGGTGTGGAAATTTGAAACAGAGAAAGCAAGATCATCCTTCATCATCGGACTGTTGTGCCTGACAATAGCCCTGCAAAGAATCAAGGAACAGAATCTTGCACAAGATATCTCATTGTGACAAGTTGTTAAGAGAGTACTTTGTATCACCTGAGCCCGAAGAACAGCTCCAAAATCCATATTTAGTCCTGTATAGAGACCATAAAGAAGAGTCATGAACAACATACTAGCACAGTCTGACCCTGTAATCAATTTAGAAAACCCTTTGAATAAAAGAGTGAATAAAACATTCCATTGTGGGGGTAGATTGGGTTTGCGAAAATTTGAGAGTGTGGATAGAGTCTCCTTGTACCCCATCTGATAAAACATCTCCAAGAGAGCAGCATTGGAGATTGTTTCAGGGTTGATCATATCTTCTTATTGAGGAAGCCCTAGGACAGAACAGAATTTGGCTTTGGTGATTGGTGTTTTCTAATCTTGGATATCAAATATAATCTTGTTTTCCTCCTTGATGTATCTTGCAGAAGAATACGCCTTGGATAGAAGGGACATCAGAACATCCTCCATTTTCTTTAGAGCATGAACCAACGGAGAGTATTTGAGAAACTCTATCATCGACAGAAGATATGGCTCATATTTGCAAGGCTCCAAATCTATGATGAGATTCTGATTCATTTTGACAGTCAGAAGATTTGATTGGACTGTTTGATCGTGAGCTTATGATGAAGTAGCCATTGTTGAAGCTTTGAAGAAGACGATGAACAAAAGAGAGTGTTTTGTTTGCGAGATATCTTTTGAGAATATTTTGAAAGAGATAATGAGAGAGGAACTGTCAAAACCTTTATATACAATTCGATTTGTGAGAGAAATATCGAGAGAAAGTGCATTCAGTACTGAAACATCGCCTGAAAAAGCACGACTTGACAACTTTAGATGTTAGACCCGTACGTCACGCGGTGGAAAAACAGCTGGCCGTTTAAATTCTGTACGCACCCTTTTAAATTCTTATAATCAGAAAATGCCATGTCATCATCCATCTTTCTCAGTTAAACATTCTTTGTCCCAACTATTGCGAACCTTCATTTTTAGAAAACTTGGGTTACACCGCGAACCTGAAAGTAAATATTAAGAACCACGAGCAAGACTTTCGTAAGATCACGAGGACCTTCATGCAAGAGTGCCAAATATAAAGAAATAAATCAAAGTATATCTGGGAAATTTGTGATGTCTATGCATAGACATAAAACAGTTAATCTCGGGCATAGATTTCTTCCTTCAAAGTCAAGAGAGACTAAGAAGTGTGTGTGTGGATTCTCATTGAAATAGGATTAGATTTCTGAAAAGAAATACTGGAAGGCTTCTTTTAATTCGGCTCATTAGGTGGCTAACTCTCCAACCAGACAACGAACTTGATATAAGAACGAATGTCGAATGAACTACTCATGTGACCAGTGTAGTCAATTGAACGAGTAGGTTTGGAATTCTATTGGTGACGAGATAAAACTTTGAAACCTCAAACAAAAATAAAACTGGATCTTTTGGGAAGAAGTGACTTGGTAATAGAACACTTCATAAAGATCACGCAAAAGAGATGAGATTGCTAGGTCCAAGCCACAAAGGTGGCTATCGTTAATTCCATGGTGAAAATCTAGAACTTTTATTTGTTCACCATCAATTCATGTAAGTGTGCTAGATTTTGGGTTGCACTTAGTGTCACACCCCCAAACCAAGGATGGCGGAAACGTCCGGGGGTGGAGGACTTCATGTACAATATCACAACAACGAATATAATAGTGCTCAAAGTAAATACAACCATCATAAATATAATTGAAAAAGTTACACCAAAGTATATTTTTACATGATTCAAAATCAATTACATTATGATGACAAAAATAAATTGTTGACGGTTTAACGTCCCATCCTCAAAGCGAGGAAGTTTTCCTGTTTCATTGATTTCCTGAGAATACAAGTAGTTTTGAAAAGTGTCAACAATTAAGTTGGTGAGTTCATAAGAGTTTTTTTTGAAGTAGAAACCATTTTCCTTGTAAAATTGATATAGTTTGATTTCCAGAAAATCCAATATTTTCTTAGTTAAGTGTGAATAGAAATATTCCTATATGATGCATTAATGAACCCTAGAATGACCCGTAGAGTTCCTCTATAGTCGTCCAGCGTATATAAGTTATATAAGGTTTAAATCAGATAAAACGTTGAATATAGTGGGTCTACCCTAGGTCCACAACCCAACGAGGAACAGGAGATGAGGCGGGCACCACCAATTCTAGGCCATTCAAGACTAAATTCTTATATGACTCAAACATGTACGCTTAGCGATTATAGTTGAAGTCTAACAATTCTAGATGAAATATAGTTTTAACATCATAATAACTATTTTAAGTGAACCTGGTACTTTGTATCGGTACCCCCTTTTTGTATAAAGACCCGACACTTTGTATTTGTACCCCTTTTTTGTATAAAAACCAGCACTTTGTATTTGTACCCCTTTTTGTATATAAACCCGACACTTTGTATTTGTACCCCGTTTTGTATAAAAACCAGCACTTTGTATTTGTCCCCCTTTTTGTATATAAACCCGACACTTTGTATTTGTACCTCTTTTGTATAAAAACCGGCACTTTGTATTTGTACCCCTTTTTGTATATAAACCCGGCACTTTGTATTTGTACCCCTTTTGTATAAAAACCGGCACTTTGTATTTGTACCCCTTTTTGTATATAAACCCGACACTTTGTATTTGTACCCCCTTTTGTATAAAAACCCGGTACTTTGTATTTGTACCCCCCTTTTGTACGAGTATGTTATGTAAATGATCATAAACTATACCTATTATAGTTTATTAAAATGTTTGAAATGTATATGTACCCTAACTATACCTATTATAGTTTAGTATATTTCTTTATGGTGTTTAAGAATCCCATTCTATGTAAGTCAAATGTATAGTACAATATAGCTATTTTTAACTTGCTTTGTTTTGTACTAATGATTATGATGGAGGATTCTTATAAATTCAGTAAGTAATTTCCTATTATACAATTATATCATAACAAGAAATACATGAAATATATGAAGTCGTCAAAGACTTAACACTTTGCTCAACATGTTACAAAGTGTTTTGATAGTTAGAAGCTGTTAACTAATTCTTAATCTTTCTGCACTGTTTTAGAAAAATCATACGAAGTCAAAAACTAGATCCGTAAGTTCTGAGAATTCAAAAAATGTGTCGAGTTTACTCATAATTTTTATCACGATTTTTAATGACCTCCAACTTGGGTGAATAAGTCTATAATCACAGATTGGTCCGGATTGTTGTTTGAAATGATAGGCAGTTTTGTAAATATCACCATAAATTGTAGAAAAATTGTATGGAGATGTGCAAGTAGTCATTTTGAAGCTAAGAACTTGAACTATTCGCACCTTGTACAGTTTTCAAAACAGAAATGTTTAAGATGCCCAAAACAGTCTGTGAATGGAGTTGAAATTTTCTGATGAAGGCTGTTAGAAAATTTTAGTTATGTTCTTGGTGTTTTAACTTGTATTCCCCCCCCCCCCTCTGAAAACTTTGGAAAACATGAAAATGTAGGGGTATGAACTCACCTTAAGTGATCTCAGTAGATGATTGTTGAAGAATGGAAGTGTTTAACTCAAGAACACTTGGAGATGCCTTGAAGATTTTCGAGAATCTAACATCATAGTTATGGAGTTTGTGTAAGCAATCAATGATTTGAGTAGAATGAAGTGAAATAATCATAAGGAGGATGAATTATACTTACTAAGAGTGGAAGAACACTTGAAAATCAGCCTTGAATCTCGAATTTGGTAGA